CAGTTTCCAATTGCTTTTTTGCCGCTGTTTGAATATAGAGAAGGCTTTCAAAAGGTTCATTAAATTCTTCCTGGGATGCACTGAACCTGTATAGATAAAAAACTCTCGTCCCTCCGTATACTTTTCCTTTATATCCTGCTTACTACTTTCCGATAGAGGTTTAAACACCTCCCTTGCTGCGTTGGGTACTATTGTTATTCGCGCGGGATCTATCTTATAATTAGATACAATGTCATTTTTTGAAAACTCAGATACCGTGGCTATGCTGGCGGCCTTTCCGATAAACCGTGGCGTATAATATTTGTAAAACAGGTAGTGTGACTTTGGAATAAATGATGGATAATGAATAAAGGCCAGGTCATGTATCACCAGGCATTGCGGCACCCGTGTTGTCAATGAACAAAAGCCATCACACGATACAAACACGTCTGCCTTGTACTTCCTGAGCGCCGCGGGCACTTTTACATCATACCACACTTTCCACAACAGCGGGTGTCGGGCAGGCGGACCGATCACGACCGGCTTTACATTGTCTGCAAAAACAAATCGTTTATCAAATGGCCGGTCAAAGAGAAAGATAAACTGGTGTTCCCTGTGTGTTCGCGTAATTCGTTGAAGTGTTTCCAGTAAAAAATATCCATAGCCTTCCAGTTGATCAGGCAATAAAAACCGGGTATTGACAGCAATTATCATGTAGTAAGTGCAAATGTACTTGTTGACCCGCTTACATTAAGCGGCAAATCAGCATGTGTACAATGGTAAAAAACAAAAAAATAGTAAAGAAACAGGGTGATTGAACAGAATTTTACGCCGTCATTTTTCTATCAAAGTAATGTTGAAATACTTAGTTGATGTGCTAACCCTGCTACGTTTAATACGGTGCGGTAAAACGAGCATTAGTACAGTTGTCTCCCTTGGCAAACGGGTCTACTTTTATGGCGTACATCCCTATTTATGAATTACCAAAACGTAACCTATGAAACCTGTTTACTTTCGTATTCTTAGTGTTACAACCCTCATCC